TAGGCCTAAGTTGACCTGGATATTAAGTAGATCAGTGTTCCGCAAACTTTTTACTTCACGGCCTATTTATGATTCCAGGCACCAAGCCGCGGCCCAGCAGCCGGCCGCGCCAGGGACCAACATACCAAATCTTGGCAAGAACTTTTGATCATGAAGCCTCCATGTATATACAATATTTTGACATCATTATCTGTTCTCTAAGAGATAAGATTTTATTATATACAAATTAAATATTATTTTATTAAATAAATAATACCGTACATTTGTGTTTCCCCACCCCACCCTCCAACAATTGTTGATTGTTTTTTCTTTCTACCATGATTCAACCAAACACGGTTCAGCCACACACGTCATAGCAGGGCCGTAGCCACGAAAAGTGAAATGGTCAGGTTGCAAGCGAAGCGCGAGCACTGATGATTAGGGCTATAGGGGGCCGCCAAGGGCCCCAGTTCGCGATTATTTTTTCCGTACGAAACATGTACATGAAACTCCACTCGGGCCGTCTCGGCTGAATCGACCCGAAAATCTCATTGCAGAATTCAGGAGGTCAAAAGGTCATCAACAGATAAACGTCTACAGAACAACCTCTGAGAGAACGTCGCTGTCTAATTTTTAAAAAATACATTGATGTTACCGTGTTAATACCAATGGGTCGTACATATAATATTTGATTAAGCTGCACGAGTAATGGAAAGTGTTATTTTAACTTGAGTTACATACTATGACAATTTTAATTTTTTAGTTAGGCCTTGGTTTTGCATAATTACCTAGGGCCTACTAAGACACTCTTATTGGGAAAAGCACAAAGAGTAAGGAAAAGCGCGTTTTTCTTCATCAAATGAAACAGGGTGACAGTTATTTTCAAATTAAGAGAAGAGCTGAGAATAGGCAGCTCTAAAATACTGGATGCCATAAGACCTGCCAAAATGGCAGAGCACCAAATGAATGTAAAAATGAGCTAGTTATTAATATTAGGCATAGTAATCGGCAGGTTCTTGATTACAAGGCTAGACCAAGTTAATTACATGTAATGCCGAAATGATAATTATTATTATTATTATAATTATTATTATTATAATTATAATTATTATTATTATTATTATTATTATTATTATTATTATTAATTATTATTACCTGTACGTTAAGGGGAACTTAGCCAACAATGGAGGAATTAGAGAACAATTTAAAAAACGACGTTAAGGGGAAATATCAAAA